GAATCCTGAGTGGTCAGGTGCTCGGATGCCCACCTGGGTGGTGAACCACTCCTCCACTTCCCTGCGGTTGGTCTCCACCAGGGCCTCGTACTGACTCCTGGTCTCATTGAGCACTTGGTTCAGGTCCACGGTGGGGGCAGCGTCCACCTCCACGTTGAGGCGGTCTCCAAGCTGACAGCGCAGGGTGTTGACTTCCTGATGGAGGGAGGGGAAAGATTGAACTCACAGAAATAGAGCTGCTATCTTTCTGCTCTAGGGAAGTGAGTTCAGCCCTGCCAACAAAGCACTAACAGGAATATCCTGATCATTCCAAAGATCGGTGCAGACACTGGGTAGCAATAAGGATTTAGGATCATCCTAAAACATTTCCCAACAAACTGAAAGGAATTCACACCTCCTGGGAGACTAATTTCCTGGCATGTGCAAGTCCTCCCTCATTTCTCATCACATCCCTGTAGGCACCGCGTGCCCAGCGTACCCCAACGTACCCTGCTCCACCACTTCTGGGTCTTTGCTCAGCCTCTTCTCTCAGGTCAGAACACCCCTTCGTTGCACTCTTCCTTGCAACTGGGAAGAGTTCTCTGTCTCCTCACTGGCATACTGGCTTGTGCATGCTTGTGTACCTCTCATAGAGAACTTGCTTCCTTCTGCCTTCACCACCCAACATGGCTGTCTGTCTGCTCTAGACTGTGAGCTCTTTAAAGAGAGAAGCCATGACTTCTTCTTCTTTTCTTTTTTTTCCCCCCTATTCTCTCCCCACCACCACACCAAATCCAAGCCCTAACAATGACCAACTTCAATCAATGGATGTCATTCCTCAATATCTCCAACACCTGCCCAACCTGCACCTGGGTGCCTGAGAATTCACAGCTCACTTCACTTCGTGATGTGGATACAGCATCATCCTTTTATGAACCAACTTTGAGTTCTTCAGGAGAGGGTTCCATGCCAGGGAGTCTGACATTACTACCATCTGATTCCCAATACGAAAGTCTCAGCTCTGAAGCTCTGAAGGTGGCTTTTTACAATTTTTTCTTCATACCTCCTCATGGTTCCTCTTGAGGGACAGCAGCTCCTCCTTCAGGGACTCCACCTGGGCCTCCAGGTCGGCCCTGCACAGGGTCAGCTCATCCAGGATCCTGCGCAGGCTATTGATGTCCGACTCCACCAGCTGCCGCAGGGACCGCTCCGTCTCGTACCTGTGCACACAGATCAGAGTGGGAGGAGAAGCCAGCCAAGAAGCCTGCCTTCCTCTCTGGCATCTTTTTTTGGATAGGATTGGCCAAGATCTTCTTGAACCTACACAGTTCTCTGCCCCTTTTCTTCCCTGTCTCCTTCATGCTACACGTGGATAGACCAGAAAAGGCTCTTGATTCAAACTAACACCAGGAGGTGCCCACAGGGACCACAGGATGGAGTCTCTCCCTCTGTTCTCAATTTTGTTGGCTAAAAGATGATCAAATTGATCCATTCCCAGAAAACAATTAACTTCAATCTCTGAACTTGGGGGTTTAAGAAACCCTTCCAGAAAGACCAATACTGGTTGAGCATTCCGAATCAGAAAATCCAAAAATCTGAAACGCTCAAAAATCCAAAAATGGGTTGAGCAATGATGTGACACCACTGTGGAAAATTCCACCCCTGATCTTCTGACAAATCAGTCAAAACTGTAGTGCACCAGAGATAGTGTATAAAATTACCTTGGGGCTATGTGTATTTTTTGTGTGTAAAACATCTATAAATGTTGTGTTTAGATGTGAGTTCCAATTCCAAGGTATCTCATTATGTACTTGCAAATATTCCAACATTTTTTAAAATCCAAAATCTGAAACATATCTGGTCCCAAACATTTCAGATAAGAGATAACCAACCTGTATCTACTGAAGGGCAGGGCAGCCCTTCAGTGTGGGTTTCTATTCGAAACTGACTTGACTTAACTAGACTGAGGGGGAGAAATAAAAAGAAAGAGATGGCTTTCTCGTCCCTTCCGGGCAACATTAGGCTCATGGGGCCATGGAGTAGCTGTAGGGACCCTGGAGGTCCTCTAGTCCAAAAAGGCTCAACATACTTGGTTCTGAAGTCATCAGAGGCCAGCTTGGCATTGTCAACGTTCACCACCAGCTTGGAGTTCTCAGACTTGGCACACAGAATCTGAAAAAAGTTGGTTCTAATGTGAGGTCCACTTGAACTTGAGGATATCTCACGAGTTCCAAGACAGACAGCTGCTTCTGGGCCCCCACCATGCTCTGCTCCTCACCTTCTGCTGGAGCTCCTCGATGGTCCGGAAGTAGGACTGGTAGCCGGGGCACACCAAGGGCTCCTGCTGCTGCTTCCGCTCCTGGATGCGGGCCTCCAGCTCCGCGTTCTCCCTCTCCAGCTGGCGCACCTTCTCCAGGTAGCTGGCCAGACGGTCGTTCAGAAACTGCATGGTCTCCTTCTCGCTGCCATTGAAGGAGCCCTCACAGAACCAGTTGCAGTTGCCCACGTTGGCGGGGATGTTGCAGGCCCCGGGCAAGGTGCAGCCATGGCAGCTGTGGGGCACGCAGGGCCGGGAGGAGCAGCTGCTGCGGCAGCTCACGTTGGACAGGCAGCAGTTGTAGGGCATGGTGCTTGGGTTTGGAGAGGCGGTGGAAGAGCAGAGAGCTGCTGGAGGTAGATGTGGGTGAGGTTTGAGTCTCTGCTTCCTCCATGGTCCTTTTATACCCTTTAATAGTGGGTGGGGGCTTGACCAAATGCTTCAGCTAATTTTTCTTCAAAATATGCTAGTTAGTTGCTTCCAAAGAGTCCCCCCTCCTCCTATAAAATGATTCCATTCAGCTTGTGTCACACCAGGCTCTTCCTGAGTGCCAGTGGTTGATGAAATCAGAGTTTCATCAGAAGACTTCAAAGGAGGCAGAATCATTCCAGCCCCAAAAGGCTTACCCCCATTACTCAGAGGGAAGGACAGACTGCCAGGGACATGGGGTGGAGTCGCTGGGGAATCACAGATTCCTGTCCTTTGAGGTCCTGCCATGGCACTGCCTGGAATGAGAGCTGTGGGTGAACACTCTTTCAGGAAGCTATCTCCTCCCAAATCTACCCACTTCTCAGAATTCACTTCAACAGTCCTTACAGCGAACACTCACCCTGTATTAGCCCTATGGCTCCTGATTCTTGCTGTTGGTTGGGACTTAGGGCATTGAACAGTTCATGGAGAGATTGAAAACAATTATGCATTTGTGGTTGGGAAATAAAATGGAAACTGGCTTGATGGATGGGAATCCTACTAAAGGGAGAATCAACCAATTATAAACTACAACCTATATATGGGCTAGTCCTCAGGGTGGCGCTCTTGGGAGACTATGGAACCTTAAAGAGGTAGGGCGGTGGGGCGGGTAAGGGTGTCTCTGATGTTGGGTGCAAATAGCTTAAGGGAAACATGGGGGAGGCACCAAGTTCAGCCTGATGCCTTTTTTTTTTTTTTTTTTTTGGTGATAAAGTTTCAATGGAACAGAGCCACACTTACTTAGGTGTGGTCCATGGCTGCTTTCCTGCTTTCCCTGGTCTGAGTTCATACTCAAGTGCCCTAAGATTGAAGTCCCTCACCTTGGTGGTCCAGGAAGGCCTGTAAGCCTTTCCCCACCTGTCCTATCTCCTCAACCCCACATGGTCATTCCTTAGAAAAACACGGGGAGGTGGAGGGGCGAGGGGTGAGTGGAAGGAGTATGGCTCTTAAGAGCGAGGGTTCGGGCAGCAATGTTGAAGGGTAACTATGAAGCATTAGGTTTTAGATTCACCAAGAAAGGACAACGAGAATGAGCTTCCAGAGCTATGCATGATGACCTTATCACCAAGTTTGGAAATATCTATTGCCAGACTTCTAGACTGATGCTCCTTTTGGAAAGTATCAGCACCCCTAGAGGAGTGGCAGTGCCACCTGAGATGCTCCTGGCTCACAGTGCCCATGAGAGGCAGCTTGACTCTGTCTTCCCTAAGAAGTAGACCTGTCTCACCAGGTGCAGTTGCGGCACACACCTGCAGTCCCAGCAGCTCAGGAGGCTGCAACAGGAGGATCACGAGTTCACAGCCAGCCTCAGCAAAAGTGAGGCACTAAGCAACTCAGTGAGCCCCTGTCTCTAAATAAAATACAAAATAGGGC